ATATTTGTTACTGGCAGAAGTTACATTTTACGTTATTTGATTCTGTAAAATTCTCTTATTATTATTAAGAAGTAATAAAATTATTAAAAAATCTTATTAAAAGATATTATTATGTTTTATGTATTTATGATTTTGATCTTGTATTTTAACTAAAAAATTTAAACACGGATTAATTAAACAATATATTAAACAATATATTAAACAATTAATTTTTTTTTTAATTTTAATGTAAATTAATTACAAATAACAAGATTTTCTTACATTCTTTCCTTCACAATATTAAATAAAGGGATTAATTCAGCGCTGCAATTATACATATTAATATTTTCGTTTTCGACTCAAGCGGATTTGCTCCCATTTCACTTGGATAATGTTCTACTATGGGTTGACGTTACATATTCCATCAATAGAAGAGAATACAACATTATTAATCCAACCTAGATTGGTGCAAATCCGCTCAAGTCGAATACACTATAAATTTGCTAAAAAAAAGAATATCCAAGAAAGTAGCTGCGGATATCTTCATGACTGAATAATTTATATAGACGAGGATTGTTTGAGCCTAACATAGAAACAAGTATTTCTTTCAAATTCAGTTTTATTTTTTAACATAATCTCCTTTTAAATCGACATACTTTTTCTCAGTTATGCTCACATTTCTTTAATCCATTCAAATAATAGTTGGCATCTTGCTCTGCAAAATAGGCTTTCGGATGCGATGATCTCATTCGATAAAAATCTCTGTCTCCTCCGAGCTAAATTTTGAGCCTAGGAAACAGAAAAATGTCGCTGGGGGCCAGATCTATTGAATACGATGAATGATCAATCAATTCGAACCGCAACTCCTGAATTTTTATACTATTCGATTTTTTGATATTTGATTTTTTTTCATTTTTACAAAATCACTGACATCGACTGACACAAATGATTGTCAAACAACAACTGAGCGTCTAAAATGGCTACAATTTTCACAGATATTTTTTAAAGCATATACGATTGTAGTACCAGAATGGTTTTGACGAGTAATGCCATCTTCATGTTGATATTCAAAACTTTTTAAACGACTCTCATATATATATGAAGATATTTCTTTAATTCTTTTGATCCTGGCGTCGACTACTGTCGATGTCCATGCTGTATTATATTTTTATTATTAATACATAAATGTGAAATAAATAATAAAATCTGATTTTTATTAACAATGAAAAATTTATTTTGTAAAACTGCATATATATCCAATTATCTAAAAAATGGACACTCGTGGCAGACTTCCTCGCACAAGGGAAGCACAATCGCACATTTACGCCGGAACGAAAAAGTTAAATACATATTTAATTTGATGAGTAAATAAAAGTATGATTCAATATAGCCTACCAAAGCTACTTTGTAATTTTGCTGAGTTTGATATTGAAAACTGCAGTGATCAGATTTAAAATAGATAACATTTCTAAATATTAATTAAAAATATAAGATATTTTCAATTTTTATGTTGGTGCAGTGAAAATTTAATTATTCGTATACTTATGTAGACATAGCAAATAGGTCATATTGAATGTTAAGCCATATCAAACAATTATCTTCTATATTAGCTTTTTTAATATAATATACCATCAAATATTATTTATATTAAATTGTTAATTATGTTATTATGTGCCCAAATGAATAATATCGGATAAAACAAAAATCATTTATCATTTATCATTTTAATAATAAGCACAAATATTTACATATATATTTTCTATTTACATATATATTTTCATCACTTTCTAATTATATTATTTTTTATCTTAATAAACACAAAATCGGGATATAACGATTCAAAGATGTCTAAAAAAATATCTTTAAAACATTTTTATGAGAATATAAAAACTTATCTTATGTTCCGATTGTAAATTTTGTGTTGTCTAGGACTTTTATTAATTTCATGTGTATTTTAATAATAAATGTTGTATTATAGAAAAATGCGAAAAAATTTCTGTCTTTTTGGAATATATCTTAAAAATATATCTTAAAAAAGGAGTGAATTTCTGGAAAAGTAAATATTTTAAGTATTATATATAAAATACCATAAATATAAATAATAAATTTGAATAATAAACGCAGCCTGATGTCATTTTTGTCTATAATAATATATTGATTTTCTAATAAAAACGTATACTCAGATCTCGCTTCTTTACTTATATTTAATAAAATAATACTGTATTATTAAAATAATATGAGAATTTTAAAAGAAATATTCATATAAGGCTGAATAAAAGATATATATTTGAAATATATATTCTTTTCCTATCGTAATCTTTATATTTATTAAAACTGAAAAAAAAATTCTGATTGAAAATGAACGAATCAGAAATTCTGGTTAAATTTGTTAGAATTCTAATTGAGATAATTGGAATTCTGATTGATACAATATTTCTGATAAAATCTACTAGAATTCTTATTGTTATCAGAATAATTATATTAATTCTAGTTATCTTAACTAGAATTCTAATAAACATAAACAGAAAATTCTGATTCGTCTATTTTCCATCAGAATTACTGTTTAATTCTTCCAGATCATTTTTCTCGATATATATTTCCTATATATATATATACAGGAAATTTTTGCGAATAGAGTAATAATGATAACACATATGTAATGTCATTAGATTTAATTTTAATGATAAAATTCTATGTTTTTATCTCGTTAGAGATAAACGTGATTAATTAGACATGTTTTGCAGACCGTATTTCTTATCTTTACATATATATTTTTGTCTTGTTATTTGTAAAGTGAAACCATCATAGAAGCATACAACTTACATAATCGTTTTTTAATATATACTTTATATTATTTAAACATTGCATCTTTATAAATTTTAATTTATATTTGAATATTAATCATAGAACTTTATACATAAAATAATATATTTTAATAAATAATTGAGACATAATTTGTTGATTTTAATTTAATTTGTTTATATATTATAGTTATGGTTCTGTAATTTATATAAAGCATAATCATTTATTGACTAGAATTTGTAATATATATTTAGCAGTGATACATACATATAGACTTATATTTTCTATAAATCAGATTTTATGCATTTATTTATTATATATCTATTATTTCCTGTTATGTGTGTGTTTGTGTATATGTGTATGTGTGTTTGTGTATATGTGTATGTGTATTGTGTAATGAAATAATTAAGAAAGAATTAAGTAAGAAGCATCAATTGTTTAAAATTATATCATTTATTTACTACAACAACATAACGCAAAAATTGCCATGTTTTAATTGCTTAAAAATTGCAGAAAAAAGTTAAAAACATAAATAAAAAAAGAAGAAACA